ACAGTCTTGCTGGGGTATGAGCTGGCACTGCCAGGGGAGCACCAGGACTTGTGCCTAAAATTTGTTTGCAGTAGGATGGCACTATTCTGGCTAGTGATTTATTATAGACTTGGTAAAAGCACAGAACCTGGATCAAGTGTAGACCTGCTCTCAGGGTGTGTGCAGCTGTCTGCAGAGGCAGAGCTGAGTCAGGGATGGTGCTGAGCATTCCATAGCTCTCCAGTGAGCTGTGAGTTACTGTCAGTACCACCACACCATGTCAAAGCTGAAGGATTTCCATATTTACTAGCATTTATAGTCTACGATCCTCTGCTGTGTAAACAACAGCGGTTTATTTGACTGCAGGCACAGAAAGCACAGCTGGTGCCTTTCTGGGGCAGTAGTTTCCATACCCTGTCCTGCTGTTAGAAGAAGAGAAACTGGAGAGTGTGTTTTTAGGAAGGGAAAATCTACAGTGAGTTATGGGGAAGTTTTATGACATGTGAACAAGAAAGCGACATGGTAGCCCTGCACAAATCCCCATCAAACACAGATGGTGACAAAGGACTCAACAATCCCTCTTGCCTTCAGTTGTTAAGTGATATCTCTTACTGTATTATGTCTCTTTTAAGAGACCCAGGATTCCGTGTGGGATGTTTCTCTTGGCTTCCTATGCTGAGATTTGATAGTGCAGTTGAAGACTTGCAGTGTTTTGGTTACCAACTGGCAGTAATTGCTAAAGGTGAGAGCAGCGAGCTGTGAAATTTCATAACACCACTGTCACAGCAAATAACCCCTCAGGTTTTATGGCTGCTTTCTCTCCTCAGACCTCTTACACAAACATAGCATAGTATAGTCAAGGATCTTGTACAGATGTCTCTGCTTTGGAACAAAGTCACCCTTGAGCAACCCACAGAAACTTTACTGCTGTAAATATTTGATCCAGGAGAACAGGCAGGCATTGCTGCTTCCCCATGCCCTGGCAAAGGGAACAGCCCTTAGACTGTGTGGTCTGTTAATATTTTTTTGGTACTCAGAGATGGAATTTAAACTCTAACATTTGACAGCATAGAATACCTTGGTGCAAAGCTGAAAAGGCACAGAGGTTACAGCTCAGAGCTGTGAGGGCCAGACTGGCAGGAGGAAAAGCCCTTCTGTCTGCACACAAGGTCCTGGCTGCTGCTGTGACCCAGGTGCCACCCACTACTTCTGCATCCCTTGGAATCATGAACCCACTGAGCTCAGTGCCTGTGGTTTGGGTTGTCAAGCCAGAGACTTTGAGTTTAAAAAGCTGTTTTGAAAAATAACCCTTCAGCGAAAAGATATTTCTTCTGTATTTGCTATTTAAAGCTGGACTCCATTTTATTTTTTCAGGAGATGTGTCATGTCTATCTTTTAATTTTTCTGTTTAAGTAAAGTGCTACATTTTAACCTCCTAGAATGATGTTTGATTAAAATCAGACCAGTAATCTGTCTCTGCTGACAACTGAGGGACTTCTTATCAGCTTTGTCCTTCATGGAGAGAAAAGAGACAGCAGTGACAGAGGACAGAGAATGCCAGAAGTGCTGTGGGAGGGGGCAGTGCCTTGCCAGAAACGGGTGGTGGAAACGAAGCCATTTTATCTGGGAGAGAATAAAATTAATCACTCTGGTATTTCTTATTCCTCAAGTGTTGTCTTGGGCAGGATATTCTCTTACAACACTTGGAGGGTTTTGGGCTGCTCTGCAGTGATGATCAAGAAATTAGCTTTGGATTGAGGTGACTGTCACTTCATAGCATCAGTTTAATGTGGCCTGGGAAAATCTTTCCCAGATAGTCTCTGTTAACAACCTCTTTTTCTCTGATAATGGTGAAGATTGAGCAACGAGAAAAAACCACATCCCCAAATGTGAAATGTGGTGGGAATCAAGCAACAGCTTTTTTTATTCAGTCCCAGCTTCAAATTGGCAGATGTTCACTACAGAAAGTGAGGAGCCTCCTGAAATCACAGATTTAGATAGTAGTAGTAGTAGTCTTTATTTATGTTAGAGTGATTCTTCTTGCCTCAATCAGGAAATCACAGATAGTGGATGAGAGCTAAATGATTCCCTGTACTTCCAAGAACTTACACTCTGAGATGTGGAGGATGGCAATTTCCAGGGGAAGGCTAAACAGGCTTTCTAAATGTCTGCAACATCTTTTGCTCTGTGTTATTCAACAATGTGTGTCTGCCAGGCTGAAGTCAGAGGCTGCACCAAGTCATCATCACTGCACTCCACGCTCTGCTCTAAAAAGAAAAAGCTGGCAAAGGAGGGTGGGAATTTTTTTTTTTTTTCATTTTACACTTATAAAGAGAAGAGTGAAGTCAGAGAACTTTTCTTCACAGTCCAGTTCTTCACAGAGAGCATGAGACACTCAGAAACTTAGTTTATTTTTATATCCCCCTCCCTCCTCTGTGGTGCAGCAGAGCATGCACAAATGGGTAATTTAGATCACTTAAAAAGTCATCATACCAAAGGTATTAGCAGAAGTGGGTTTAATATGGTGTTGTAGAAGTACAACTCAACAAAATTTGATGGCAAGGTTCACTCTATTCTTTACTACCGGGATGAAACAGCCAAAGGAAAATCAAATTAAAATTGAGCTGGAATGATTCACACAGTGACCAGAGACACAGAAGGGTAAGGGAGACCCTTCCATGGAGTTGGGAGGTTCAGGGTGGATCCCCTTGCTCTTTAAACACCTGATGGAGCTTAGATGTGGCTGTGTCCAATCTTAGTCTCATACTTGGACAAAGGTTTATGTCTAATGGAATTGGCTACATGAGTTTCATTAGTATTAATTCAGCAACTGCCAGTCACTCACTGCCAGTCTGTGATGAATAAGGGGATCTCTCAGCCTTGGGTTAGGAAGGATCTCTTAGTCTCAGGTAAGGAATCTCAAGCCTTGAGAGGTATCCCAGCTCAAGGGGAGATCACCTCAAGGGAGGGCTCAGACAAGCCTCACTTAAGCTGTTGTATTTAAGGAATAATTTTGGCTTCTAGTCAAATTGCATACAATGGGAAAGGTAGGCATGAGACTCCGTGTACCCACAACCTTCTTTGTTCCTTGATATATGAGTCTTGGTAAAGCCACCCCGCTGTTCATGTGTTAATTGCACGATTGGTGTTCCAGGCTGAGATGCATCAATGCTCTGACATATGCTCATATGTCACTGTTCTCCATCGTGGGTTTCCTGGAGGAGTTCTTGGCCCAGCTCCTGCTCAGGCCTTTTACCTCCTGTGGAGCCTGTACCAACCTGCTGCTGGTTTGCTTAAGGGTTAGAACTCATCTGTCACAGAGCAGAAGGGACAGTGTGATATCTGTAGGTGAAAGGAAATGGGCTTTTCAGAGTGCTCAGTCCACCTTAGATGTGGCTTCATTTAGGGTGTCAGAAGTGGTGAAGCAGCACAATCCAGCACTGCAGGAAATGGGGGTGTTAAGTTTTCCAGAATGACTCAACGCTTCTGTTGTCACCAACTCAGCAGTGACAGAAAGTGGAACTTGATGGGGGTTGAGTGGGATGGAAATAAATTGGATTAAGAATGTGTCAGTGTCTCAGTTAATTGGTGCTTGCAAGGAAGATGGTTTGGCCACTGCTGTCATCTGATGGGACATTTTCATCTCTACAGAGCAGACCAAGGCCACCACATAGAGCAGGTGAGTTTGTGGTCCCTTAAGAGAGAGGGTTACCTGCTGGCCACCAGATAACTCCTTATGGTCTCTGACAAGTGAATTTTTTCTCAATACCTTAAAGCCACTGAGTGGCCTTGAGACCATCTTCCAGGATGTTTTTCCTACCTGTTTGATAGGCAGCTGTCACAGTAGCTTGTGGGGCATTTTGTACTATGGAAGAGCTCCAGAGCAGGAGCACAGGAGAGAGTGGGGTTTTTCCCCCAAATTAAAGTTGGAGGTCAGGTGTTAGGGACACAGAGGTGACTTGATCAGAATCTCTAGACCTCTCACCCTTGTATTTGCAATATACAGCAGTAGTCTTTAAGTCACCAGATTCCAGAGTGCCCTTAGAAACACCAGTTGAAGGCTGAAACTGCACATAGTGGCCAAGTTCTGTGTGTTTCCACCCTCTGATAAAAATATCCCTTAGACTTGAGTAGGTTTTGCTGGCAAAACAATGCATAGTCTATACCTCCTGAATTACTGCTCGTGGTAAACACTGAGCCAGGTCTGGAGAGTGGGGGTTCATTTGCATTGCAAACCTGGCATGGTGTCTAGGAAGGCTGAGGCAGTGTTATTACAGTCTTCTCTTTGAAGCCAAGTAACCACAATGGCATTATTGCATCTGAGTTGATATTAATAGTGTCCTGGTGGTGGCATTATCCTTGGCTCTCTAGAGACTCAACACAAGGGGCAATCAACAGCCTGAAGTGCTCAGAAACTGAGCCTGTTTTTTTCCACTGGATTAACAGCAGCAAATGCACAAACTCATTATTAAGATGGTGCATTCATTTCTTTGGAGTTATGATGGAATCTTGATACAGTTAAAAACCCCATTAATATTTACGTCACTTAGTGTTACTGTAAGTAAGTACATTTATTTTAACTAGAGCTGCAAATTGTTTAGTTCTTTGTAATTACAGTACTGCTATTAATTATTCATAAGGTTGTACAATATAGTGTCACAGGAAACCCGTTTTAATTTAGTGGTAAATCAATGTTTTAGTTTTGTGTAAAAACAGAAACTAATTTACCAGCCCTTCTTGCTTGTGTTTTCCCAGATGGGCTTTGCAAACCTTCCTCAGCTGCTTCTATTTAAACTACTTTTTGTAGTTTTGAAAGTTTAGAAGTTACTGGGAAAGTCTTAGGTGCAGTTTACATGGGTGCAGGTGATTTTGAATGGTCACAACAACCCTCTGCAGTGCCCAGGCTTCTCCAGGGAAGAGTGGCTGGAAAACTGCCTGGTGGAAAAAGCTGCTGGTTGACAGCTGGGGTCTGTGAGAGATCCTGTAACTTATACCTCTCCTTTCTAACTCTCTCCTCTGCAGGATGAGGTCTCTTCTGTGGACATTGAACTCCCAGCTACCTATGCCTATTGCCTGTGATGGAAGAACTGGATGTTAATGTGAGGTAGGATAAATGACACGGCTCCTTTTGTACCACATCTTGTAAAGCTGCTGAGCTGCAGAGGGGCAGAGGCCCCACGGTGTGTTTGTAAAGCTGCAGGATGGTATTTTCTGTTTGCTTGGAGATGAAGGTCTCTGCTCATGCAGCAATGCCTGGTTTGGGGATTCTTGGAGCTTCTATGAGGATGTGGTGTCACCCTGGTATGTGTTTAAGTGTCAGATGGGACATAGACAAGTCAAGGATTTCCTTGTGGTAGGAAATGTTAGGAATTTTGCAAAGGCTGCAGTGTGAGGTTAGAGAAACATTCCTGGAAATTTTTGACAGTTCAGTTTGGGACTTGTATTTATCACAGCCAAGGGGGGTGGCAGACCTCATTTTCTCTAATTCTAGAGTAGAAAAATAAATGACCCGCAAGTATTTAATCTTTATATTTTATTGAATTTTTTAATTTCATGTGACTTGGTGATTACTATTGGGCACATTTATTTTAGGCAGTAGGTTAATGAGATGCTGTCAAATGGTTTGAAATGAAAACTTGAAACCTTAAATTGGTTAGAGCAATCTGGAGAGGCCAAACTCTGCTTGTCCTGGGCGCTTGCCAGCGTAGGTTGCAATGGTACCATGCACAAGGTGTAAACAATGGCCTTGTGCAAGACTAGTAAAGCCTTCTTAGACCTTTGGTAAGACTTTCATTGTATTCCTACAGAGCATTTCCTATAGTCAGGAATAAAGTAGAGCTCCCGACAGCATGAGAGCCCCTCCTTATCTTATAGCAGCTAAATCTGACTCCCTTACACTGTTGGAGCACAGGTGACTCTTATCTACACCAGTTCTGAACAGCATTGTTGGCCATTCTTGTGCATTTTGCCATTCCTTTCTTGCCTTTCCTTCCCATTTACTGCAGTGCATCATGTTGGGAAGTTGCAGTTTGATGAGTCTGAACATTGCTCAGAAGCTCTGGGCTGGTTTTCACGGGCTGGCTGGTATTTCCATTGGACAAGCACCTTACTTAAGAAGTAGACTTTGAGAACTAGGTAGTTTTCCAATTCTCTCACTTACCTCTTTGTAGGTCCTTGGGCAAATTCACAAGGCTGATGGGTTCTCCCCACTCTGACACCTGCAGTCCAGCACTGGCAGCTCTTGTTGCTCTTCAGGTCCATAGCTGGGAGGGGAGAAGTGGAAGAGCAGCTGCCTGGCATTTACAGCCAGGACTGGGTGGGCAGAGCTGTGGTTCTGCAGCTGGAGCTCTTCTCATGCTCTTGGGCAACAAGGGGAAACCTCTGCTACGTGAGTAGGTACTTCTGAGTGTGGTCAGAGCTGTCCTGAGTACTTCACACTGTATGAAGGGTTTTTGCTTCCTTAGATGTTTGGGAGAGGTTATGCTCTTGAGAAACAAGCTTTTGAAAAAAATCACCAGCACGTTCAGTGCAGGTAAATAGCTTTTATAAAACCCTCTTTATTGTAGCTGCTGGTGAAGGCAGAATCCCTTTGCTATATCAACTATGGAGAAACGATGTATTATTTGATTTTGTCACAGCAGTAATTGCTTTTTATTTTTAAGCTGAGCCCCTAAACCAGCTGAATTTTAGATTGATGTTAATTGCTTCCAAACTTGGCTTTATCAGCTTTAGTTTTCTCAGTTTGTTGCTGGAAGTATTTTTGTGGCTTGGAAACCTCTGAAAAGCGCAGAGCCCTCCAGCAGTACTGTGTGGGGCTCATTAATCTTACCTTGACTTTGAGAAATGAGAAGCAAGGTGAGGGAACAAGGAATCAAATTGGTTGAATTAGTTGTGTTTGTTTTGAAGCAAAGAAAAGATCCCATTTTTTAACCCAGCCACTGTTCTCAAAGCCCTTGTACAGAGGCACAGTGAACACTAGTTCTGACCACAGACGTTTTTGATCATATGCCCTCCTGAGTCAAGTTGCATGCTTGAGTGAGTCCTGAATCTGGAACCTTGCTGTGTTGGTCCAAAAGGGTCCTTTCCCTGTGGATTGCAAGAAGTGGAGCTGTTAGTGGCTGTCTCTAAGATGGATTTATTGCCTGTAGGTGGTATGGCAGGAGGGCTGATGGCAGAAAGGGGCAAAGAAGTTCTTGGGTATGCTCTCTCTGTTCAAAGCTGGGGAGAAACAGGAGCAATAGTCATAGTGGGAGAGAGAGAGAACCAAAGACTCATCTGGAGCCCCAGGGATGTCCTAGGAGAGGAGTCTGTGTGTGCCCTTGGTCTCCCCTTCACTGGGACACTGGCAGCCAGTCATGAGCCCAGAGCTGGGCTGGGAGGCAGGACAGGCAGAAAACTGGGCTGAAAGCAGATGTGACTGTTTGGACAAGGAAGAAGCTGTGCTGAGTGGTTGCAACAAAATACGCATCATATTTAATGACCCAAAGCATAGAAAATGGAAGGGGTTTAAGAAAAACCTTGTATGCTCCGAGTGCCCTGTCAGTGAGGACTCATGGATAGCAAACAGCTTAAGACTCCTCCACCAGGTTCCAATAGAAGTGTTTATTCTTAGATATACACAGGCTCTTTTCAAAACCTCTCCAACTTCTACACTTTAAGTCATTAAATCATTGTTTATCTCAAGTTCTTTAATCACATTCTTGTTTAGGTGAGAAATAGCAGGCTATCAAATGTCATTTAGCAGGCAAAGAATCAGCCTAGAGCTCTCTTCCTAGTCCCCTTTCGAAGGGAAGATCAACTCTAATCCTCCTGTAATACCTGCAGCATCCGTCCAGAAAGGGATTTGCTCTTGCATTTCTGCAGAGACAAATGTGCTGATTGAGAAGATTTTTGAGCCCTGTCTCCTCCACCTGGTCCCCCCAGCAGGGACAGTGCAGTGATCAGAGGAGCACGTAGGTGAGAGCTGAGTGCTTTCATCCCTTGGTGCACAAGTGATACAAAATTCTGATTCACTTACTGAGCTGATGTGGTTGAGTGCACCTGCTCCTGAGGATAATGGCAGGCAGTGCCAGAAAAGACCAAAGTAAAACGCTGCAGATCCCTTATGAGGCAAGATTTAACAGTACTGATTTACATCAGCTGTAGATATGACCATGTATAAGCTGAATGAAATAGGGCACAGCTCTGGGCTCCTCACAGCAAGAAGGACATTGAGGGGCTGGAGCCTGTCCAGGGAGGGAAAGGAGCTGGGGAAGAGTCTGGAGAGTCAGTCCTATGAGGAGCAGCTGAGGACATTGGGAGTCTCAGCCTGGAGAAAAGGAGTCTCAAGGGGGACCTTCTCACTCTCTACAACTCCCTGACAGGAGGGGGGAGCCAGGTGGGGGTCGGGCTCTGCTCCCAGGGGACAAGGGACAGGACAAGAGGAAAAGGCCTCAAGCTGTGCCAGGGGAGGTTCAGGTTGGACATCAGGAAGAATTTCTTCCTGGAAAGGGCTGTCAGGCATTTGAAGGGGCTGCCCAGGGAGGTAGTGGAGTCCCCCTCTCTGCAGGTGTCTAAGGAACAACTGGATGTGGCACTCAGTGCTCTGGTCTGGTTGACAAGGTGGGGATTGTGCACAGGGTGGACCTGATGATCTTGGAGGTCTTTTCCAACCTAAATGATTCTGTGATATGTTATAAGGAGCCAGTTGAAAGGTAATTGCTGGGTTTGCCAGGTTTATCCTCTCTGTGCCTGGGTGTGCTGGGATAGTCAGGTACAGCAAGGACACTTTGGAAGGAATCCACAAGCTGGGAGCACTAAAACACACAGGGTGTTTCTGAATCTGGAGCTGTAGACTTTACAGAGCATTTCCCACCAGCCAACTCTGGGTGCAAGGAGAGGGGCAGAGCAGGGGGACACAGGGAAGCAAGGCACAGTAAAGATCCTCACTTTCACGTTTTTGGGCTATCAGCCAAAAATCCTCAGCAGCCAGAAGATCCTTGGAAAAGAAGTTTGCTTTGCTGAATGCCTGCTATAGCCCAGGCACTGCTCCACCAGAGCAAAAGCCGTTATCAGCCTGGGTTCATATTGTTCAACTTTTTCTCAGTTTCTAGGGAAACACTTTAAAGCACTATATTTATCGGAACGTCTTTCCAAACACCTCCGCCAACACTTAATTAATGGAATTTTTAAGCCTGGCTCCAGCTTCTGCAAATTAATAGCGTGCTCCCTTACGGCAGCTGGGGAGCAAGTGAGACACGGATACTCCCATAAATAAGTTGGAGGGTGCAGAGGCAGAGGGGCAGCTCCTATTTGTCTGCATGTGCTCAGCCCCTCAGGGAGGTAAGGCTGTCATACACTTCTGTGATGTCTCATCTGCTTTTATTACTGTACCCTGAGGAATCTGTGCAGATGAAAATGTCCTGGATAAAAAGCTGGGCCATAAAAATGAACTTTTTGGTGTCTTTCATCACACCTTTAGCGTCAGTGTCTCTGCACAGAGTGGCAGGTAGTGAAGAACTGGAAAAGGCTGTGGAAGGGTGTGAAAACCATCCTAAAAGACTGGGATATCCTGGAGCAGACATGGCTCTAGCACTTGGGAAAACAGGGCACCTGCCTTAGAAAGCAGCAGGTTACCCAGAGCAGGAAAATGGGCTGGACCTCATTGCCAGCTTTTCCCATGCCAGCTGCCTCAAAGGGCAAAACTGGCAACTGCAGTGCCAGGGCTTTCCAGGACACCCTCCTGGACTTCTGAGGGCTGACCCTCAGCATTAAGCAGGCAAAACTCAGTTTGTCTCCATGTTTGAGAACTCTTGAACCAGCAGTGCTCAGAGGTGGTGAGCAAGGAAACTGGGAAGGGGGTATTAGGGTGTCTTGAGAGACAGGACTGCAGCAAAACTGGAGCTGTGCAGGAGATGCTGGACCAGATGTGTGGGGGTTCATAGGGCACTGTGAGTCACATCGACAGAGCTGGGGTTCCTTCAAGAACAAACATGATTTTATGTCTCAGAACCAAAGGGGATTGGATGTAGGGGGAAATCTAGTGGCTCTGCTCTCCTCTCAGTGAGATAAAATTCCGTGAGCTGCTTTTGGAGAAGTGCAGAAAGACAGTCCTGAGATCCTGGT